TATTTCACCTTGAATGGATGGCTTAATTTCATTTTTTCGGCAAATTCAAAAGCCACTTTCCTGACGTCTGTTGTGGTCATTCCGAAGAGTGATTTTTCCATACTTTTAATAATTTCTACTAGTTCTAGTTCTTGGTCCTTTGTAAAAATTGAGTGAAAATGTCCCAGCCTAATTTTTCCAGAAAATTTGGTCATGGCCATCTGATGCCTTTTAAAAGTTCTTGCAGGGACCCCATATTTTTTGACAGCCGTTTTTAGTGGCATGCCATTCGTTACTGATTCAACAGCAATTTTCAATGATTCATCATTATAAGACGAACATCTGGTGGATTTTCTTATGTAATTTCTTACCATTTTCAATCTTCAAAAATTAAAATAATTTTAATTTAATTTTAAAAACTTATACAAAAACAAGTTTGAAAAAATTTTAAAAATATAATTTTAATTACAATTATTGGCTGCCTTAAGTGAAAATATCTAAAACTTGACAAATAGTTAAAACAATTAAAGTTAGCCTTCTTGCCCCAAAGTAAAAGAGGCGTTTTGCCCCAAAAGAGAGCGCGAAGAATAAATTAAATTTTAATTAACAAAAAATTGTTCTAACCAATTTGAAGTTGATTTTCTATATGTAAAAATGATTTCTCCTCACAACAAACTACTCCTAATCACAAAAAATTATGTTATTTTAACAAATTTTAAAAGAAATCGAAAAACAAAAATTATAACACGAGCGATATTTGACCTACAAATTCTTGAAACTTTTTTAATAAAATAACCAAAGCTCAATACCACGCGGTTTTTTATTATAAATAATGTGGGTGCGTTCTATTTTTCAAAAATTAATTTAAAAATTTTCGGACTTGAATTAATTCGGAGAAATTTGAAAAAGTGCTTTTTGCCCCACGTGGCGTTTTGCCCCACGCTACCCTATAGTTTATAATTTGATTAACACAAAATGGCAATACCAGAATAGAATACCGTGATTATACTCTTTGGACTTTTTTAAATTTTAGATGTTTTTTAGATTATGTTTTGAAACGGAATAAAATTAAGAAAAATACATTTAAAATTATGCTGCATGTTTAAACTCTAGTGTTACTTTCGAAAGAAATGTTCATGTTTTAATTCTCGTGTTTTAATTCGCGGCATTCTTTTCTTTTTTAAACGAGTAATTTGCTACAAATTTTTGTACCAGATCCCCGTTTTTTGTTGGCTTCTCCAAAAAGAATTACATTTATACTAATATAAATTGTTTTAATTTCACACGTAGTGGTAGTTGATGACTCAACTTCCTTCATTGTTTTTTGGCCCAAGGTGACATAAAAATTACATCACAAAACGGACCGAATTAGCGTAGATCCAGATGTTTATGTTTCGCCAGTAAATACAGTCAGTGAAACAGCACGTTCAATCCAGGACGTTGCTCGTCAATAGTTTTATTTTTCTGATGCTGCGTCATATCAGAAATTCAATCCAGGACGTTGCTCGTCAATAGTTTTATTTTTCTGATGCTGCGTCATATCAGAATTTGTCAAATGGAGGCATTAGTCCATTGTTAACAGCTCAACGTAATCGACAAATTTTTAGTGTTATTTTGGAACAGGAAATAGCGAAAGAGTAGGCCTGTTATTTCAAATCAGTTAAACCTGAAAACGAAAACGACGAAACCAAGTATTCATTTGTCATAACTATGACGTGATGGCTCAATGGTTAAAGGCGCCTGGTCTTGCTATTGCATTGACTGGGTTCGAATACAAAGAGATCCCCGCCTATCATATGCAATGTGTATGATGCGTGGTTTGCACGCGTATTCATATACGCTCTGTGTGTTTGTCGTTGAAACCTCTGAAGCAAACGCAAAAGAGAGAGAGAAACCTTTAACCTTTTAACCTTTATGGTGAATATTTAATAACTTTCTTTTTCGTTGTAATGATATTTGATGCTGATAACATTCAACCCCAACCTGTGTATCAATCAACTTCGATATTGGGGTTTGTTTATGACATTTGTTTGTTACATTTTGAAACCGCAATTTTTTTTAACGTTAAATAAAAAAGTTATAAATGTTTTAGTAAATGAGTAATTAAGTCATATCACACCACAAACACATTTATATAAAAAAAATGGATATATAGGTACATATATAATATATATATATATATACAAAGATATATTAAACAACAATGCATACATTTTTATAAACTTTTTATTACAAATAAAAATTTTAAAAATTTATTTCGTGCACTTTAGAGAATAAAAGATGTTTCTCTTAAAGTTCATCATTCCACGTTCATTCAAGTGGATGCCGTCAGGTCCTATATTATTATCTCCTCCCACTCTGTCAAGCTTCCAGAAATGAACAATGTTAGACTGGAATTGTTTCAATGAGACATTTAGTTTATCAACTTTCCATTTCTGAACGTCTTTTCTATAAACCAGGCTTAATATGATTATTCGGCGCGGTCTGATTTTATTCTCTAACAGTCTGAGTAAGGATTCATATCTCGTGGCCACGAGTTCCGGGGTTTCAGTCGTCAAATCATTGCCTGGTATTTAATATTAATGATTAAAAATTAAACAAAACTGTTATTATATTAAAAGAATAATGAACCAAAATTGGGAATAAAATTGTCTATTGGAAGATGCAAGTAAAACAGGACGTTCAATCCAGGGCGTTGCTCGTCAATAGTTTTATTTTTATGATTCTGCGTCAAATCAAAATTAGTCAAATGGAGGCATTAGTCCATTGTTAAAAGTTCAGTGTAATCGACAAATTTTTACTGTTAATTTGGAACAAGAAATAGCGAAAGGCAGAGAAATGTTACTCAAGGTTTTTTTATAACTAAAAATTGTACGAAGCCGCAAAAATAAATGTTACGATAACTATATCTGTTAGCAATATTGATACCTGTAGCGTGCAATTACCAATTCATACACATAACATTATGATTTTCAGCACAAACCCCCCCCACACACACACACACACACACACACACACACACACACACACACACACACACACACACACACACACACACACACACACACACACACACACACATATATATAGCTATCATAATCCGTGGGCGTAATACTTGGTAAATATATATATATATTTATATATATTTATTCAATCGCTTGGGTTTGCACTTTTTTGGTGCTATACGTTTTTTATTATTATAACGTATTATTATATTTTTTTTGTGTTTTCATACATTTAAATTAAAGCTAAAACTTATATTTTATAAATATGCTATATTAATTTGTCGCAAAAACACTACTGTTTATTATATTTTACCTCGTATATATAGTTAAAATTTATACGCTTGTCAATCTGTACTATTCACAATTATAGTCATCTACATGGTCATCACAAACTTTTTTTCAATTTAAAATGTTTAAATTTCACTTTTTGCTGCAATTGCATTAGTATTTGTTAATTTTTAGCTAAAATAAAAAACATATTTTGTTTTTTTTTGTAAATTTAAATGTTCACGTGTTAAAGAACTATAGTTCAATTACTGTGCAATGCATATTATTCATTAAACGAAATAACATTTTTATTAAATTACAGTCTAGTTTGAATGAACAGGGTTGGTTTGACCAAGCTTGCAGGAGCCTAAAGCAGAGAAATAATTTCACCAATCGAAAATGTAAAAAACCAGTGATAACAATAAAAAATTGAAATTCACAGATTGACTCATTGTGGAAGAATAAATGCTTTTTAGGGTTAACTGAAAATGGTCCCAAAAGCAACGATAAATCTTTACAAAACCTACAGAGCATAATAACATGCAACAACAATGCCTTAGAAAGAAAAGTGGTTAGTTGCGGGATGTAAACCAACTGCACGGTGCATCTATTAAGTAGTGCAGTTGAAGAAGAGGTATACCAAGGTTACCGGTGACGCAAATATAGAAATGTATGGTTAACGCGTTCAATCGAATTTTTGAGAATGTGCACAAAACGGGAGAAAGTTTTGTTATATATGGTATTTTTTGAAATAAAATTGTCTATTAGAAGATGCAAGTATTTTTTAGATGCACACATAAATGGATTTTTGGCGATTTTTTAACTTTCTTGTTACCGATGGAGCAAATTTGGAAATGTATGGTTAACGCGTTCAATCGAATTTTTGAGAATGTGCACAAAACGGGAGAAAGTTTTGTTATATATGGTATTTTTTGAAATAAAATTGTCTATTAGAAGATGCAAACATTTTTTAGATGCACACATAAATAAATTTTTGGCGATTTTTTAACTTTCTTGTAACCGATGACGCAAATTTGAGAAATGTATGGTTAACGCGTTCAATCGAATTTTTGAGAATGTGCACAAAACGGGAGAAAGTTTTGTTATATATGATATTTTTGGGAATAAAATTGTCTATTCGAAAATGCAAATATTTTCCAGATGCACACATAAATGGATTTTTGGCGATTTTTTAACTTTCTCGTTACCGATAACGCAAATTTGGAAATGTATGGTTAACGCGTTCAATCGAATTTTTGAGAATGTGCACAAAACGGGAGAAAGTTTTGTTATATATGGTATTTTTTGAAATAAAATTGTCTATTAGAAGATGCAAGTATTTTTCAGATGCACACATAAATAAATTTTTGGCGATTTTTTAACTTTCTTCTTATCGTTGGTATATTAATATATAGCGATTTTATGATGAAGTTTTTTATTGTTTTATGCAATTTTTAATCTGAATAAAGTTAAAATGTTATAAATAACAAATAAAAAACAACAATAAATCTTTTTTCATTTCATTAGACCTTTAAATATTTATTATTTAATCGGTTTTTTCATATTCCCCTTTTACATATGCTTAATCGTCGCTGAGTTAAAACCGTCGCGAACATTACCTTCGCGAATTTATAGAATATTGTAAAAATCATGGATATATTATACATATCCATGGTAAAAATATATATATATATATATATATACACATATATATATATATGTATAGAATATTGTAAAAATTATGGTCTTCTACCAATATATATATATATATATATATATACACACACACATATATATATATATATATGTATAGAATATTGTAAAAATTATGGTCTTCTACCAATATATATATATATATATATATATATATATATATATACGTGTATTAATTATTCTTCAAATTGGTCTTTATCTTGCCTCTTTACATATTTTTATTATAATATTATAGGCTTGTGCGTTTGGCTCACTTGGTTTCTTTTATAACAGCTGATCTATTGCCAGAGTTTAAAATGAAACTTTTGCGCAATTTTAGAAGTGTTCGAAAATTTATTTTTTTATTAAATGGTGGATTTAATGGTAGAAAAATTAAAAAAGTTGCGTTTTGTTCAGCAGTATGCGTCGGTTCTATCGGAGGAGCCTTTGGTTTGTTGTACTGGCAGCAGTTCAGAAGTTTGCAGTGTGCTGAGCCTCAGATCATCAATGATGATCTTCCTCATGATGAACAAACTGAACAAATTGCTGAGGATGAGAAAGATGATCAGGGTGATCAATTGAATGTCCGGTTCAAAACGGCCATCAGAAAGTCTAGGACTATTTTACAGCAGCTTAAAGTGCAAATAATCTTTTTTTCAAGCAATTTTTCAATAATATAAGATTAAATTAAATTCAAAAATTTATATGCTGAACAAGCAGCTTAACTTAACTTATGCTTTAAGCTTTCTGCTTCATATTCCTTATTTTATTATTCTTAAATCTTAAGCTCAGTATAGCTTAGTTTATACTTTCTTGCTTTAAAATTGTATTATTTAAGTGGTTATTTATTAAAATATAATAAATTGACATAATAAATACTTGGGCAAAATAATAAAATCTTAATTTTTTAAAATTACTATGTGCCATACAGACAGAGAAAAACTGTCCAGGAGTGACTGTTGCAGTGGCAATCGATGGCCAAGAAGTTTGGAAGGAAGGTGTGCATGCATGCTTTATGAATTGTTTTATTTCATATCAATTAATTTAAAGTAAATTGTTTGAGCTTTTCTTAATTTGCATTCTGCAATGTTTAAATTACAAATTAATTTAGTTGGATGTTATGTATAATATGATTGATTGATTATAAGCTTTGTGAGGTGATTTTAATAAAATAACAGTTTCTAAAATCAACATTTACTTTGTAGTCAAATGTTGAATGTATAATAATTAACCAGGCTTTGGACTGTCTGATGTGGAGAACAATGTTCAATGCACACCTAACACAGTAATGCGAATTGCAAGCATCAGCAAACCTCTGACAATGGCTGTAGTTGCCAAGTTAGTGGAAGGTGGTAGCCTAGATCTTGATGAAGACATTCGTACTTACGTTAAGGATTGGCCAATCAAATCATTTCAAGGGAAAGAAGTGAAGTTTTTTTAGTTTTTTTTAATCTAAACCAAAATCTAGTAACCAAAATTTTTATATTAAAGTCGACTTTTACTTTTTATAACCTTTCATTTAACTCACTCAACAGTCTAAAATCACAACAAGAATGCTTCTTTCAATGCTAGGAGGAATCAGACATTATGACAAATCATGTGGAGTGAAAAAAGTTGTTGAAGCATAAGTTTTATTTCTATATTTCTTGAGAAAGTAGTCTTAGATGACTTTATCATTGAAATCTGAAGTGAAAAATAATTTGTAGGAATGCAATTCATCATTAAACTTGTTGTTAGATTCAAGAATATTTTAGACAATGATTTATTAACTGAAAGACAGAACAAGTGAACCAAGCAGCAGCAGGTGATTCAATTTTTACAGAATTCTACTTAGCAAAAAACTTCAGCAGTGTCATTGAATCGTTGGATGTTTTCAAAGATGACCAACTTTGTAGTGAACCAGGTGCATTCAAAACTAAGCACATCTGATATCAATAATTTCCATTCAATTGTTCATTGTTACAGTAAAATTTAAAAAATTCGGAGATTAATTTAAAAAATTATTTTCTGATATAAAATAATAATTAGAGATGAGACTAATCTATTTTTTGAATAGTTATATAAGCGTTTTTTGTTGAAAATATTTTAACTCCAACACGATGTTTAAATTTTCTAAACAGGTTCAACATACCTCTACTCAACTCACAGTTTCACCTTGGTTAGCGCGGTTGCTGAAAAAGTAGGAAGCAAGAAGTTTCAGGATTTAATGAAAAATATGTTCAGAGACTTGAACTTGAAGAGCACCTACCTTGACGAAAACATTCAAATCATACACAACAGAGCCAGGTGATTACAATACGTTCATTAATCACGTTATTCCAGGTGTAAATTTTATGAATAATATAAATATATAATCTAAATATTAAAGTTTTATTATAATGGCAAAGCTTTCTAAAATTGTTCACCATTCAGATGCTATTTCATGCACAACGGCCACCTGGTGAATGCCCGTTACGTTGACAATTCATGCAAGTGGGCTGGCGGAGGCCTTCTCTCGACGCCCACCGATCTCTGCTTGTTTGGCAGCACCATGCTCGCATGCTCCCAAGGTGTTAGCAGTTTCAATGGTCAGAATGTGAAGACTGCTGATCAGTGTGGTGTAAGTTTATACAAATTACTTTTTGCTGTTGTACACTTTTCCTTTCTGTTAATATGTTCACAGAATTCTTGCAATACAGCTCGATTTTAAATTCATTTGTAAATAAACCGATACCTGTTCATTTCCATGCGCTGTAGGTTGACCATTTTATTCCTCATATGACTAATCATTTTTCTATGAACCATCTGATCAAACTTTTTGTCACAAAGGAAGAGAAAGACTCAGTAACTCCGAACAACCTAAGGCCGTACCTATCGAAGGAAACGATGAAAATGATATGGACGCCAAACCCGAAAACACAAAAAAAGACAAATACATATTACGCAATGGGCTGGGAGGTTATGAACCCACTACCGCAGCTCTGTCTCTTCCAATCCGCCCTATCGAAGTACAAAAACCGACGCTGTGTATACCACACAGGGGGTGCCGTGGGGAGCTCCAGCATCCTTCTCATCATGCCCAGGGACAAATTGAACGATAAAAAATTATCAAAAAACATGAGAGAAACAGTCGATAAAACTAAAAAAGAGAATGCAGTCGTCGGGAAAATCGACACAAGACCGAGAGGAACCGTCGTGGCCGTGTTAACAAACATGGAAAATATTTCAATGTTTAACGTAGCTAGGGAGATAGCTGCCTTATTCGAGTCCGACCTCGAAACTCAGCAACGCAAACGGGCAACACGAAGTTCGACAGCTGGTTGAATGAGCTATAATAATTATTATAATAATTATACCAAAATTATTATTATAATTATTTATATTACAATTTTTATTTTAATTAATGAAACTTCGTTTTATTTTGTCCATCCATACAAATTACATTTATTTTATTTGATGTATTTATTATTCACAATTTTCAAAAAATAAGTCACTCGCTGTCTTAGCAATAGGTGGTTATAAATTACTCCGAAAGTGATTTGAGAGATATGTATTAATATTGTTTCTAGATGAATTCAAAACCATAATGAAGTTGGAACAAATTCATTTAAACATCAATCATAAATGAAACACCACACACACACACATATTTATATATATATATATAATATATATGCATGCACACATACATACGAACATACAATTACACGTACAAATATTTATGCCAATTTCATTTAAATAACATACTAAAAGTGATGACCGATTAAAAAATACATTATATAATAGGCATATATATATATATATATATATATATATATATATATATATATATATATATGTTGGTAATAGACCATAATATATACAATATTCTATAAATTATACCGAACGTTTCGCGTTAATGTTTGTAGTTCGTTTTTCGTCAATCTCCATCTAAATTCATTTTGACAAAGTCAATATTTCCCTATATTAACAGCAGAAAGCACTGATGATGATTCATTCGGAATCGAAATATGGCCTTATTTGCAGCATGAATTCGGAAAATAAGTTTATTTTGAATTTTAATAAACTAAACGTCTGCCAAAAAACTTTAGTGAGAAAAATCAAAAAAACGAACTACAAACATATTAACGCCAAATATTCGGTAGAATTTATAGAATATTGTAAAAATTATGTCTATTACCAACATATATATATATATATACATTCATATATGTAATCACTTTATCATTATATATCATTTGATAATCTTGTTATCGTTATATATCTTTATCATTTGATATATATATACATATTATATATATATATCAATTGATATAGATACATATTTTATATGTATATATATATATATACCCAATTAAAAATATTCATATAACTACTTGCGTGTTACATGAAAAAAAATTGAAAATGAATACAGGACTTAAGACGTTGATTAATTGATTAATTAATTAATTTAATTTATTATAAAATATATCAATAGAAATATATATCAACTAAATCCAAAATTAAAAACTTTTAACGACTAAAACGGTTTAAAAACAATCTAGCGGTTGTTAGTAGTAGTATGTATATATATATATATATATATTTGTATATATATATATATTTGTATATATATATATATATTTGTATATATATATATATATATATTTGTATGGTCCTTACTCTCCTAATTATTGATTTATTCATATCAGATCTTGAAACGTACATGAACTCTTGGAATAGTTTTTATTTCTAAACTTGTCCGTCAATAAACCTAGATAGGTACTTAGGCCCTGTACATGACATGGTCTCAAGTTAATAACGAGGTGTGTGTGTGTGTGTGTGTGTGTGTGTGTGTGGTCTTTGATAATGTATATCTCCATTAATATCAACAGTTTAAGTTTTGGAATTTTCTTTGAAAAATGTATGGCAAGGCAACTTAAATATCAATGCAATAATATGAGCCAATAAAATTGGTTTGATATAGAACATGATAACATAGGTAATAAAAGAACATGAATATATGTTGTATTTGTTATATTGTTTTTATTTTATTATTTGCATATATTGTTTTTGATTTAACAAAATTTTTAAATAAATAATGTTTTAACCTATTGTTTGAAAGATAAAATTTAAAATATTTTCTAAACATTTGAAGCATATAAATAAATTCGATTGATATCTTAAAACATTGCCAGACAGTGTATGAGTGTGCTTGACGAAGGTAGTAAATAAGTCTTATTAAACGTTAACAACTTTTTAAATAAAAATAATATAAACCATAAAAAAATTATCATTATCTATATATATTTCAATTAGAAAACCTCAAACTATATATCGATTACTACTATAGAAAACTCGCATTACAAGTTAAAATAACATCTAGCGACATAGCGTAACATCTAGAAATATTTAATCTAACATATCACCTACAATCCAACATTAAAAAAATAAATTTGTACAAGAGACATACCAACTAGGCTTACGTGTTGAATACATCAGAGGTGAGCGAAAGACGGCCAGCGGCTCGCGAGGCCTTGTTCGACAAAAGAGCCGTCAGCCAGACTTTGACAAAAAAAAGGAGCCACAAATCTTAAAAAATTCTCCCCCGGGTCGAAAAAATTTTCTATTTAAGTAAATATGCGGCCATTCAAAGGTAAAATAGCTCTCAAAGCGGCCCTCACAGCAAAAGTTTGCCCACCCCTAGTATACATACATACATACATACATCATTTTATCACTATACCTCAAAATACAAATAAAAAGATTCATGTTTCATGTACGTATGAATGTATGACTACATATTATATAGGAACATATATTTATCTATATTTTATTATTATTGTTGTTGTCGTTGATTTAGTTACCCCATTCGAAATGTTGGTCAAAGAATGCGTGGATTGCCATTTTATTTTTCCACACTGACTTCCATTTTATTTTTATTATTAATTTTATTATTATTATTTCTATTATCATCGTTATTATTATTATATAAAGATATCTTTGAAATTAAACTAGTATTGATTGACTGGTTTATACCTATACAAATACATACGCGGTATATGTTCATTTTAAAATCAATAATACCATTGTATAACAATGCAGTAGGTTGGTTCAAAGTTTACGATGATGATGATGACGACGACGATGATGATGATGGCGGTGATGATGATGATGATGATGACCAAAATGTGATAAAACTGGTAATGCCAAATCCGACAACAACTACACATTCTCATCAATAAAAATAAACAGTTAAAAATCATGAAACCAATAAATTAAGAAACGACGATGCTAACAAACTCTAGACAATGATTCAATTCAATTCAAATCAATTCAATGAATCCAATGAATGAATGAATGAATGAATCAATCAATGAATCAATCAATCCAATCAATCAAAGACAAATTACAATGAATCATAAAAACTACACTACAGTTATCAATGTTTAGTCATTCGAGGTGTAGACTTAGGAGTGCCAATGATATAATGAATGAATGTCGATGTGGATGTTGTAGGTAATGTTGAAGAAGCTCCCGTCCCTAACTGCCTATCACCATTTGTATCGCCATTTGCTTTCCGAACGTTCGTAGGCGACTTCAAGTTCATGTACTTTGCCGTCTTTGGGCAGGTTATGTAGTTGAGACTGAGTTGGGGACTGGACTTGAATGTTAGATGCAGATCGGTCGGTATGTCTATCTCTTCGTTCAGTGATTTGCAGAATGCTTTTGACTGCTGGCTGTGCTCGTCTTCATCTTTGTTGTCCAGTGGGGGCCGAACTTTTATCAGCTGTGGGATGATTTTTAAAATGTTTGTCGAGTGAGATTATTTTTAAAATTTGTTAATTGTTGAAATTGGCGTTTTGTAATTTTTAAGGTTGAATTTTGTGTTGAAAGTTTGATAATACTTCAGGCAAATTGCACTGCTGATCTGTTTATTAGTTTTAATGAAATAAATCAAAATTTATGTAGTTGTGTGCAGAAGTAAATTTAGCATGCATATGTGCAATGTACCCCTACATACAGTTTGAATGTTGAACGCATCACAACTATAACATCTACACATGCATGCGTAGTAGCGTATATACATAAAACAACAGATCAACCTTGAATATAAAATGAAAGACAAATTGGCATAAAATAATAATAACTTAACACAAAAATATTAATAAACATAGGAAGATGATATTCTTCAGTGTTATTAATTTTCCTGATAAAAAAAGCGTGAACGAAAGAGCAAAATAAAAAGAAGAAGGAAAAGATAAAAGAATGAAAACTGATAAAAGTATACAAACTGTTGAAACATTTGAGGAGCTTTTCATGTTACTATCATCGTCCTCACCCTCATCACCAATACACCTGTCCATTTTTACAACATCACCATCTCCATCATCAATTTTCTTCTTCATCTTCCTCCTCTTCTTCCCATTTTCAGCGTCTGTTTCCTGCACCCTGCTGTCTCGTTCGACCATGGCCGATCTTTCAATGTCCTCTCTGGCTGCTGTCACTGTTACTATCGAGTTCAACTGCTTACTGACATCTTGTCTCAGTCTGCATTTGGACGGTATCAAAATTCTGATCTAAACTTTTTATTCAAATTGGAAAAATGAAATGAAAGAATTTAAGTAAGTTAATTCACAAATGAAAATAATTTTGTTAGGCTAAATGTTTTTAAATAGGAAAACAGTTGCAGAAGAAATAAATCAAGAGAGCATCTCATCTGTTCACACAATCTTAAAATAACCTCGCTTTCCACAACAACATTTTTTGTTTTTCAATAAGAAAAATATATTTCCACATAGCAAAAAATATTAAAACAATAGAGACACACATTTCAAACGTGAATTAAAATATTATATAGAATAAGCTAGCACAGAAACATATCTTTTAACTTTTAAAGTTATACTCTTGCTACGTATTGTATGGGCTTTGCTTTATTACTGCATGAAAAGTCATACATAGATAAAAGCTGAGGTTCATTAAGTTACATTGGCTACATTTATCAAACAAATGTTCATCTTTATTGAGCTTACCTGAACAAACTTATACAGAGAAAAGAGACATACGTGCATGTATGTGCACATACACAAACATACATACACAAACAAACAAACATACATACACAAACAAACATACACATGCACGTCCATATCCTTATATTGAAAATAAAGTAAATAAGTTACCTTCTGAAGCAGTAGATGATGAAAATGATGGTCACTATGATGAGGATGATGATGACAAAACCAAAGAAGAGGAACAGACCAAACTCTAAACCACCTTCACTTAATTCTGTTTGGTTTTTATCAAATAAAAATTATCATTTTATTATGATAAATTTCTCTTTAAAATTAGAGATAATCAAATTATCTTAGTTGAATTTAAAGACACATATGTTACATTAAACATAATAACGCTGCATAAATTCTCACATACAAACACGCGCGCGCGCACACCTACACACGTATTTACACATATTCATACCCACCCACATGCACATATATACATGCACAAACATACGCACGCATACACATATTTTTTAGGATGAAACTGTTCATGTGTGTTTCTAAAATGGGTGGTGTCATTAATGTTAAATTTAAAATATCAATATCATGTTTCTACTCTATTAGGATCAACTGGAGTCTTTTTTCTAAAATAATTAACACCAATTATGAAATTACTCAAACTAAAATTTGTAATTAATAACAAAAATATGGTTATTTAAACAAATTATATGAAAAAAAATAAATATTAATAAAAATACCTTTTGATATTGCAGAATCTTTGGATTCACAGTTCTCTCCTATGAAGCCATACCTACAGCTTGAAAATTTTATAAAAAAAATTTTGCACACACACACACACACACACACACACAACACACACAAACAAACAAACACATTTAAAACACTTTCCCTACATATCAAACGTAACCTGATTAAAAGGTTAATTTGAAAAATTAGCGATTCAATGATGGGCTGATGATGTTTTTTACTAAGAAAAATTGATAGACATGACAATTTTGTTAAGGAATGGATGTATTATGTATCAAAAATTTCAAGAATGTCTAAACATTTATTTAACTAAACAGTCAGTAGTACTATAGAACATATATAATTAACATAGACAAACAAACAGACAGATAGAGGCAAACAGACAGACAGACAGATAGAGACAAACAGACAGATAGAGGCAAACAGACAGACAGACAGACCTGCAAAAGACGTCACCAGTGTTAGGGTAGAACCAACACTGTCCTCTGTTATGGCATGTGTCATTGGTATCACACGGCATCTTCTCACCACGTGGTTTCATGGATGCATTGGCATGTCCTGTTATGTTACCTGTGATGGTTTGTAGTTTTGTGTGTGTGTGTGTGTGTGTGAGTGTGAGGGAGAGAGAGAGAGAGAGAGAGAGAGAGAGAGAGAGAGAG